CCTCCTCCTCCTCCTCCTCCTCCCTTCTTCTCATTATTATTCATATTCACCACGTGGGAGATTCATGAAATTGGATGCTTGTGAAATTTGCTTGGCTCAGTCAGTCATTGCTGTCCATTGTTCAGTCTTCGATTTCAGCAACAAACGGTTAGTTCTTGTTTTATTCGAACAAAACAAACTGTGATTGGAAGCCTGCTTTACGCCCCATTGATATTCTAGGGGGCAGGCTACTTCGACGCTGCCTGAAGTCCAACAAGCCTAAAAGAGATGCTATGTCCCAGCAGACTGGCGGGAATATTACTATGTACTCGATTTTAACAAACTAAACACAAAAAACACTCTCGCGGGAACCGAGCGCATGTCTTTTGCGTGCAATGGTAAAGAGTTTAACTGCCACACCACCAGAGCCAATGTCTATTTGTTTTAGATGAAAAGTAATTTGTGAGGCATCTTGGTGAAACCAGGCACTCGTCAAAATAATGAAATCCGAGAAATCGGCATTTTTCTGCCAGTTTATACTTTTTTTTTTCGAATTTCTGTTTTTATTTTTGCTCAACGCCTAGTATATCATTACAAAAAGTTTTGTGTGGAGCAACGTTCATTAAAGGCACACAAAAAAGTAAACCTGCAGTCTCCAAGGACTCTTTAGGTATTGAAATCCCCAAACTTTGGCGGCCATTTTCTTTCTTCTTAAACCAGGCGCCTCCGCCTCTTTCAATCGAAAATATCTCGACTTCTCTTCAAGATAAATTGATATTTTTTTTTCATCCACATCAAGGCAAATGAATAACCTTTAAGATACTACCTATAACTCCATTTGCCCAAAAATTGAAGAGCGCCTGATTCCGCTGCTTTGTGATACATTTAATTCAGTAGGACGCTGATTCCCTTGACACGATATTGGGCACAGAGGAAGTATTCCGGGAGAGACCCCTACCCCTAAAAAAATCCATAATAAAAAAACCGCCAAAGAGCGTTTGGAATTGAACCTTAACTGTTCCATGTTGGTCAAGTTCTCTTCTGTCCTTATTTCCAAACTTTCAATCTTCCCCGAGAATAAAATTTAGAAGCTTTACGACCCACCAGCAGGATCTATTATGTCATTGTTTGGCTTCTTGCCCGGCACGCGAAAGTCTCATCAGCGCGTGGGCAGAACATTTAAAACAGAGCCTCTTGCTATGTCCTTCTGCTGTAAACCATCATCGTCGTCGTTTTCAGCAACATTTGGGAGGGAGTGGGGGGGGGGGGGGGCGGGGGGGGGGAACAGGGGACAGTTTTGGGGCAGCTATGGATCTGTTCCAACTATGTCGATCCAGGTCCGACAGAGAAATCAACAAATAGAGGAATAGACTAACAAATAGAGAACACACTCGGATCGACCGGAGAACCAGGGTCGAAGTATAATTATTATGGCCTCATAAAGTGCTTAGATGTGTCAACCGGGGCCTAAAACTATAAAAACAAATCGACAGCCGAAGTTAACTTTAAAGCTTTATAGCCATGCACAACATTTTGATCACACCGTTATAAATCTCATTCCAGCTGGCAATTACTTTCAATTAAGTTAAAAACTCCTTTTGATGTTTTGTGTTGAATCAAAACACTTAAGAAAAAAGTGAGTGTACTTTGACCATAGAATGATGACTGACAGACAGGCTGTCTCGCAGGCTGGCAGGCAAAACAGATGGACGGATAAATAAAGTATGCAGTCAGTTACAAAAACTGCTATCATATCAATAGCATACGAGAGACCATAAGGCCATGGAATGGAAGGGGGGAGGGGGAGGTGAGGAGGGGAAGGCTAGAGAGTGGGGGAGAAGGAAAGAAAAGAGGGGAGGAAATGAACATAAAGACACATAAGGGTGAACAGCTTGAGATGGAGACTTGGAGGGAGTTCTGGGAAAGACAGGTCCCTTTTTGTTAAGGCACAGGAATGCTTCGCATGAGAAAACGTTCTCTTAGAAAGGACATTCACCGCGGGGAGAATCCTGAAATTGGATGCTTGAGAGGTTTGTTTGGCTCAGTCTGTCTTGGCTGTCCTTTGTTTAGCTCCGTGTGTGAGATGCCAGTCATTTGAAGCCCCTGGAGTGAATAGGAGCTGAATCTTTGAGGGTCACAGTTATGTCTGAGTGGGAATTAGCCAAAATGGAATAAATCATGAAAATGGCCAGGAACATTTCTGTCTCTTTCAATCTATTTTCTTAATTAAACAATCAACAATTAAGTTTTGCCTGCATGTCTGCCTGTTTTGTCTGCCTGTGTCTGTCTGTCTATCTGTCTCTCTTTCTCGTTCTCTCTCTCGCTCTTTCTCTGTCTGTCAGTCTGTCTGTCAGTCTGTCTGTCTGTCTGTCTTTCTGTCTGTCTGTCTGTCTGTCTGTCTGTCTGTCTGTCTGTCTGTCTGTCTCTCTCTCTCTCTGTCTGTCTGTCTCTCTCTCTCTCTCTCTCTCTCTCTCTCTCTCTCTCTCTCTCTCTCTCTCGCCCTCTCAACTACTAGTTTAGTCATACGTTCGTCTTTCTATCATGTGTTACTGGGGTTTAAAAACTTGTGTTTTCCTGTTTGCTTAACATTAATACGTTGCTTTTCATCGAAGACAAAACCCTGATATGGTATACTGGACACTAAGACTTGTTGAACCGAAAGAAAGATCACCAAAGAGCCGCAAGAAAACGCCGTGACATTATGATGTGTTCATGAACATTTATAGTGGGGTCAAAAATTCGTGGCGCAATCTATCCCCCAATATCTCTTTAAAAGTTGAATCAGTCTCAGCCATACTTGGCACAACAGTTTGTATCAATTTGTCTTAACTTAGCCATTGCCAGGCTTACTGTGTGACTATTATTCTTACAGAAAATGTTATTCATTTACATATTATATATATATATATATATGCATAGTATTAGATTGTACGTTTTACGTACACACATGTCCATTAATCTTTTAACGTGTGATATTTTCTATTAATGTAATGCGCATCGAGCATTTTATTGTAGAAAATGGAAATGCGCAGCATAAATGCTATTTATTATATTTTTTTCCCACAGAAATTGGGACTAGATTAACAAATCTTCTTCATAAATTTATATAAAATACTTTAAATCTTCGTCATGCAGAAAACGGTATTATTCACAGCACTTCCCGCTTCTCACACACATTTTGCAAACGCACATGCCCTACGTCAAAGCTCACCAATGACATTTTTTAGTGTAGAACATGTAACAAAAATTGTTTTATAGTGGACACTTTTTTTCCTCTAGAGATTCTCAAAACATGCACCCATTAAGCATAATGGCAGAGTTGCTTTTAAAAACGATATTGTCTTTTAAAATATGTAGAAACCGCACACTCGGATGTTTTAAACTAGTATAATTTATTAAGGAATTTTCTAAAACGCAGCTAACGGGTATTTACAAAAATATTGATCTGTTGAGACAAACTGATAAAAATCATGTGCAAAAGTTGGAGACGTTATGTCCGATAATTGAGGAAACATTTGACAATAAGTTATACTACGAATTTTTGACCGCGCTGAAAACATATTACATCATCAAAGTGCAACATTGAAAAATTTCTTTTCACTTAAAGTAAAAATAATTAATCATTACAGTTTCTAATGCCATTTGCGGTGTATATTCTCATCTTTCCTCGCTGTTCTTTTTCAAAATAATATTGTAATTAACTGTACTTATGCTCAGATCATTTATTTTTATGGCTTTTTCTGCTCTTGTGTTCTTTTGTTTCAGTACGAAATTACATAGTATCTCGTACATTTATCATCTTTTATTCATGTATATAGAATATAACTCATTATTTTGGACCCCCCCCCAAGCCCCCTATTCAACCTAATATTTTGTTCATTTTCAATGCCCACCTCGCCCTTACACAAGATCATGCTCTTTCAACGCCACCCCCCTCCCTCCAATTTTTTTTTCACACAGCATTATATTTATTCTTAACGCTTCTCCTTTCCGTCGCCAGGTTCATGAAACTGTGTTTGCTCCGTAAGACCGGCATCCGATCTCTACTGGCCAAAAAACTGTTTGCTGCGAGCTGCTTCGTGTCGCTCCTCCTGAACATCCCCATAGGATGGATCTTTGGCCGTGATACCATCCACTTTGTGCATTACGGCGTCCAGGTCTCTTATTGCTTCATCCACAGCGAGAGCAAATCCACAACCGTTTTCATTCTCTACGCATCCATGTTGGCTGTTGTTTTTCTCTCCATCACCGTCACCCTCTTCGTTCTCTACTTCAAGATCGTCCGACAACTTCACCAGCTTTCTAAGAAACACGACGAGCTGAAGAGACGCCCATCACTCGCCGCTTCCGGCGAGGTGCTTAAAAAACAGAAACAGAGCCAGGTGATGCGGAGCTCGGCAATCGTCTTCATCGCTGTGACTGTCGCGTTTTTTGCCAGTTACGCGCCATATTTCTGCACTCTGATTCTGTCCATGGCTGACCCCTCCGTGGAAGGGTCAATGAGTCCATGGACCAAAGCTCTCTACGACCTGGCCAAAACGTTCCCCATAATGAACAACGTGGCAAACCCCTTTATCTACAGCTTCACATCGGGGAACTTCCGTAAAGAGGTCAAGAAGATGCTCACCTTCAAGACTTGCCAGAAGGGAGGGTTCTTCCGACGCCGGGCCTTCTCCCTCAGCAACAGGTCGTACGAGATGTCACAGTATTCCGAGTCCAGCCAGAAGGAAGACGCCACAACCGGCCCATCGAACCAATGAGATGTTTAAGGGTGTTGCATCATTTCCAAATTTGTTAATAGCAGTATTTTTACTTCCACCTTTTACCTAATTTTTTTGTGTAATTAGGCATAACTATGTGTTCATTATAAATATGACATAATCCACGAACAAGCCTTAACAGCACCATTGCACAATCCACGAGTAGGCCTTAACAAGAAGAATGCCTGCTCATAGACAGGCGCAAGAGTGGGGATGATTGACGCCAGTCAGAGAGGGATATGAGACAGACAGTGGCCTTCCTTGACAGTAGGGCAATGCTATTGGAGACAAAAGCATACAGAAATGTATATTTTGCAAGGCATGCAATGTGCATCGAGTAAGAATGAGAGTCAGAGCTTATCCCTAGTTGAAGCCGAATAGATGATTCGAGATTAACTTCTGAATAAGACACTAGTTTGGTTCAAGTTCACATCCCTGTATAAAAGTATTGTGCAGATACCTGGTTTCACGACTGAGTGTGAGCGAGAAAGGAGCCAAAAGAGCCAATAAAGTATTTTATTTTTTATTTTATTTGCAAGGCCACAACATAAGTTCTTGCAGATTCAGTACTCAAAACACCAAAGTTTAGAATAAAAAAATAATATGATTACGTTCGCGCCTTTTTCATTTCACAATCGACACTAGTATTTGGATAATCTTCTTGGTAACTTCCTTTATCACGCATCGCAGGATTTTTCTCTGAAACGTCATGCTAGGTAACCAATGGATGACGGAAAATACGATTTCAAAATAATTAATTGTGTGTCTCTGCAGGAAGAATGCCGTGAGGCGAACTTTTTAACTTGTGTCTTACTTCTGGACTGTGAACAAAAGTAACCAATTTGAAACTTGTCCCCACCGATTTTTTCTCTGTAAATTCATGTTCACTGTTTACTCCCCCCCCCCCTCAACCTGCCAACCAATATGGACATCTTTTATATTTTTAGCATTGTTTTTTTCTCCCCTCCCCTCCACCTCATCCCGGGACAAAAAATGTTTTATTGTGATTATTGCCAAGTTTCCGGTTTCATCATAATTTTAGCAGTAAAGTTGCATTCTCTATTTGAAACAAATCTGTGTTCAATTTAAACTGGCACTTTGAACCAAGATAACGTATCAATGTATCAAATATATATGGTGCATTTTGAATACTTAAACTCTGACTGTTTTGAGCCCGATCCCTGAATGTGTACATTTGTTTCGAGGCCTCTGCGAAAGACGTCCGTTGTATAATATTATTACATCCTGGTCAGGCTGTGCAGACGCCCCCCAAAGAACAAGGGAGAAAACCGAGGTTCTCTTAAAAATAGAATAAGTTGTATCCCTTAGAACAGCTGTTGGTGGGATTCATTCTGGGTTTCAGTTCGCAGGCCAACACGGTGGGTTTGGTTCTTGTGTTGTTACTTCTTGGTTGAAGTAAATTCAGGTTGAAAATTCCAACTTTCGTGTATTTATTTGAAGTCTTACTTCTGATATGGCTTTAGTCAAAATAAGAAATGTGTAATTTTATACTGCTTGAGTCTGTTTCTTAATTCACCAACCGTATGTCTCTCTGTCCACTTCTCTCTCTCTCTCTCTCTCTCTCTCTCTCTCTCTCTCTCTCTCTCTT